ACTAAAGGCAAGAGATGTATACCTTTAAGTTTTGATGTGCCTGTGCAATGCATTCAACATTTTTTGCTGTATGCATTAAAAATTGTGATTTCTTGTGATTGACACATGAAAGACAGAAAATGTTAGAATGAAAAAGTAGAATAAGTAGTATAACCACAATATCACACACAGTGGTGTCTAAAAATCTAAGACTAAGAGTGAAGTGAAAATCATTTTTAATGCATTTCTTATCACACACACGCACGCATGCACACATATAAATGTACAGTATATAATTATAGAAATTATATACTTATGCAATCAGAAAAATTAACATGAATTTCACAAATTTACGAATTTGTTTAGTGACTTATAATGCAGAATACAAATTTGAATATAAATGTTTGAAAAAAAAATGGAATATATTATTTTTCACTAAAATATGGTCTATAGTAGCGGTTCTCAACTTTTTGGACTTCATGGCCCCACTTGTCAAAGACAATATTCGAAGACCTCCCAAGGTATTTCTGGTACTTCTATCATTTTATTTTTAAAATTTTTTTAAAAGATTTTAACAATTTCTATTACTTTTCCAGGCCCAGAAATCACACTTTTAAAGTTCTCACATATAATAATTTTTTTTTTTTTGGCCTAGTGGCCCCAGTCCCTGTTTGAGAACCACTGGTCTTTAGGACACGCCAGACTCTTTCCTCTCTTTTCTTTTTTTCTCTAGCTTTCTTTCTTTCTTTAATTACTTTTTTTTAAACAATTTCCCCCCCCCCCAAAAACACCCTAATTGTTTGCATATTCTCAACTTTTTCCACATAACATTAACTCATTTGTTTCTCTGTGTTTTGCCTTTATGTTTCTGTTTGATTCAGAAAACTCTAATATCTGCAGGTAAAATATCACTTATAGCTGGTAAGTGGGCACCAAAGTTGCAATTTAAACAATTAAGAGAGATACTAAACAGCAGGTCAATGTTCACTTAAAGGGCTTTTAGAGTAAATGTTCCCTCTATCAATGTGCTGAATAGTTAAATTCTGGCCCCACTGACCCAACAGCTTATCCACTCTCATTTCCTGGTAATGTCTCATTTCCATAACCACCTGAAATACCTAACCTTATCATCAAAAAATGTTCCAGTCCTGATCAAATCTCTCAGGATCTCCTAGCACGAGTGAGAGATGCGACACGGCTCATCTGGAATGACGAATCGGTCTCGGTTCTTTGGGGAAAGAGACTTTTAACTCATCACAGGTCAATTTACACAGGCTTGTCCTTTTCCCATAACCCCCCCAGGCAGTACACGTCTCGGGCTGGAGGGTTGTCGCCCGGTTGAGGGCATGTTGAACAGCACGCACAGTGGTCTGGCTGCGTCATGCGGTAGCCCCTTTCCAAAATTAACTAGCCCTGCTCTTCCTGGTGGTTTCCTGTGACATACTGAGCAGCCATCAGTCAGCTGATGTGTGGCCATGTGACTCATAAGCACTGTACATGTTTTATGCTCTGCTCCTGGGAATCACATTACCAACTACACCACCTGATACATCACCAGCATGTATGAAACATTACTTGGAAATTAATTTTAGTTTGATCACTGGATCACTCTCATTGGTCTGTGTGGCAGCATATGAAATTTTGACTGAATAATCAAATTCGGGAATAGAGCTATTGTGATGATAATCTCAAATTATCTGGTCCTGTCCGATCTACTCTTAAACCAGAGATCCTTTTCATTAATCACGCTATTCTTGCCTTAATTCTCACCTAAAGAGATAATCTGTAATGTCGCATGATTGCTTGCTGTGTGTGGATGACTATTGCATTTCATATTGTTCTTTCAACTGCTTTATGCACTCCACAAAATTTAAATCTTGCCAGCTCTTTTTAAAGGGATAGTTCACCCAAAAAAGGCAATAATTGTCATAATTTTATAACAAGTGGTCAGTATGACTTCTGGGCTATATTTACGCCATCTGAAGTCATGCCAAACCCTAGTGACATTGTTATTTAATAATTTCTCCTTTCATGTGTGCATATCATGTATGTGTGTGTGTGTATATATATATATATATATATATATATATATATATATTCACATGTGGTGCATTGTTCACCCAAACAAAAAGAGGGAGTTGAGTTAATGATGACAGAATTTTCATTCTTCAGTTTGAACTTTTAATATGTCTTGTCAGGTTTGAAATCAATGATGCCAAATGTTATTGGTTCTTATATTGAACAGTGTTGTTATTGTTCACCAGTAAACATATTAAAAACCAGTAAAACTATAAAAAATATTTTTTGTTAATTGAAATAAAGCTCAAACAAACAAACAAACAAACAAAATATTAGATGAAAAACATAAACTTGAAAAAACGTAAATACAAATTTTAAATTTAAATACTAAAATTATTAAAGTACTAATAGTATATAAATAATACTAAAATAACCATATTCTTATATTGCATTGCAATATGCAAGATTTAAATGAGCATATTCAAATCACACAAATGGAATTTGAGAGTTATAATGGAGAGGAAGATTATTATTTGAAAGTTTACATTTCAGTCTATTTGTCACATGGAGCTATCATGTGACTTCAGAAAACTTTAGTGAATGAGTCATACAGGCCACTTTTATGAAATCAGTGCACATGCCAACCAGGAACCAGGTACCCTGCACTTGTCTGTTATATGCTCAAAATTGGTGATGAATGTCTCACAGCTCTTTCACCATCCCTATTCAGCCCAAACCAGAGAACGCGGTCACCATTGCTGTGTCGTCGAGGGTTCTGTTCCGCACAGAGAAAGAGCAGAAGGTGTTTGAGCAGAAAGGAATAGAGGAGTACCTCAGGTATCAGGTGGAGCACGAAAATGAGCCCTTTGCTCCTGGCCCAGCATTCCCATTTGTTAAGGTAATAATGCACAATGATATTTGAAGACTGAAAAATATAATGCATTATCAAGTTATAAGTTATTTTTTTTAAACAAATACTAGGGCATTGCCTTAAAGGAATAGTTCATCCAAAAATGAAAATTTGCTGAAAATTTACCCTCAGCCCATACAAAATATAGATGAGTTTGTTTCCTCATCGGAACAGATTTGGAGAAATGTAGCATTACATCACTTGCTCACCAATGGATCCTCTGCAGTGAATGGGTGCCGTCAGATGAGTTCAAACAAATGATAAATAATCACAATAATCCACAAGTAATCCACTCCAGTCCAATTAACAATTAATCAATTAACATCTTGTGAAGTGAAAAGCTGCATGTTTGTAAGAAACAAATCCATCATTAAGATGAACTTTAAACAGTCACTTCTGGCCAAAATATGAGTCCATAATCCATAATAACACTTCAAAAACAGTGTCCATCCACTGTTGTCCTCTCATCAAAATCCACATATTTGTTTAGAATGGTTTTGAACTGTTGTTGCTTGTATGCTTGATTGGTGCATATTTATCTCCTGATTCAGACAAGATGACTGATTTTAGGCAGAATCAGTGAAAAGCTGCATGTTTGTAAGAAACAAATCCATCATTAAGATGCTTTAACTTTAAACAGTCACTTGAGTCCATAATCCACAATAACACTTCAAAAACAGTGCAAAAATCCATCCCCTGTTGTCCTCTCATTAAAATCCACATATTTGTTTAGAATGGTTTTGAACTGTTTTCGGTTGTATGCTTGATGGGTGCATATTTATCTCCTGATTCAGACAAGATGACTGATTTTAGGCAGAATCAACGGCTTGAAGTAAAAAAAAAAAACCTTAATGATGAATTTTGTTTATTACAAACCCAAAGCTTGTACACTTGATTACTTGTGAATTATTGTGATGTTTTTGTCAGCTGTTTGGACTCTCTTTCTCTTGCTATGCAAGTGATGTAATGCTAAATTTCTCCAAATCTTTTCTGATGAACAAATAAACTCATCTACATCTTGGATGGCCTGAGGGTGAGTAAATTTTCAGCAAATTTAGATTTTTGGGTGAACTATTCCTTTAATAGAATTGACTGCCCACCCTGTAATCAACTGCCTACAATATGGCTTCATTTGATTAGACACATTATTTTGTGTTTTCTCAGGCACTGGAAGCAGTAAATAGCCAGTTGCGGGAGCTCTATCCAGATAGCGAGGAGCTTTTTGACATTGTGCTAGTAACCTACAACCATGCTCATGTAGGCATCAGACTCATCAACACCATCAACTACCACAGTAAGTATATTGCTGACCTTCCATAAAGATGTACATGGTCAGAAAGGTCCATTCTTGTAAACACGATGCTATCCTTGGGTGGTCAATGTTGACAAAGAATGATAATTATTAAAGGGATAGTTCACCCAAAAATGAAAACTGTCATAATTTACTCATTTTCATGTCATTCCAAACCTGTATGACTTTCTTTCTTCTGTGGAACATAAAAGACTAAAAATATTTGGTTAACAACAATCTTCAAAATATCTTCTTTTGTGTTTCACAGAAGATCATGAAGGTAAGTAAATAATGATTATTCATTTTTAGAAAATTGCGTTTTGATATAAGGCAGTAAAATGTGAATAAAGGTAGCTCAGCATGAAATCATAAACAATAAAACAGTAAAATGTAGACTGCTATGCTATATTATTAATCAATAAGTCAAAGGTATGGGATACAAAGTAATGACAGGATTCTGAGGACACAAAACTGTAAATGCAAATGTTTTCTTAGAAGATAAATCTCCAGCTGGCCAATCATATCTTCCCACAGAGATGCATGTGACACCTCTAACCTTTGTATCACAAACCAGCCACTTCCTGCTCAGTTCCCTGCAGCGCCCCAGCTGGACTGGTTTTGATCGTTCCGGTGGCTGACTGTAGAAAAAATAAACGTCTCTCCATCCTTTGGCCTCTCTTTGGACAAAACAACAAATGTGCGGATATGAACTGATGTTTCAAGAAGTATTTGAATTCAGAACTTTGTGTCCTGAACCATGAAATATGCTAGATGTTTGTTAGATGATAAATGTGAGTCTAATGCTGTAATAGTTCCAAAAGCCCATCACAGCAAGAAAAAAAAGCAAAAATCATACAAAAGAATACAAGAATGGGCCTATATATTTTTCTTTCATCTAATTCCCAATAATTAGTTTCCAGATTTTTTTGGGCTTTAAAACAAGAGCCAATCAGATCATGCGAAGGATTATTTGATCTAAAATATCAAGAGTGTTGAAAATGTATCTCATGTTTCTGTGCTAATCTCACTGGGGAACATTAACCCCATTAGCTTGTAGATGCATTCACATCACTATTATTTCATATTCATACTTTATTAAAACATAGTATAATTATTTAGACATAGCAATTGATAATATGAAAATGATTTTTTCCCCTGCTTTCTTTGATGTCACAAGTATTGTGGTGTCATCAGCCAATCACATAGCATTTTTTACATCTCTGAACTGCATACATCTATTTATTTATTGGCTCTCAGCAATACTTGATTCTAATTGGTCAGTCACAGCATCCTCTGGTCACAGGTCACATATTTTTGTATAACAAGGCTAAACTGTATATTTGACACTGTTCCTGTCATCCAGTCTCCTATTTGGTGCTAGTTTCATGTCTCCTACTGCACTCAGCAGTTTCATTTTTTAAATGATAAAATAAATCAATATTTCATGTTCATGTATTCACTTATTTGCTAAGTAGTCGTATAAGTGTAATAATGTAGCGTTATTGCAAAATTATTATCATTATCTCAAAATAAACACCTTCAGGATGATACAAGAGCCCACCACTCTACATCAGGATGCTGATAGGGGTTCATTTTGCGATAATGATCAGCTGACTGTACCTTATCCTTTACTCCTGGGAAACTTAGCTTGACATGTCATGTAAATCAAACCTGCTGCTGATGTCTTACTGAGCTGGCACCCATGCACTAATGTGTCAAAGGCTAAAAGAAGCACATTACCCCAACATTTCCCACCAGTCTAAGCTTTCCATCTGTTAAACAGTTCATAAATGAGGTGTCGAAATAGTGAAATCTTCTAATTGAGAACAGTGACTGTTTAAACACTGACTGTTTAAATAACTTAAGGAAAACCTACTTTATTTCTAACGACATTTTCCCCTCATTAAAAAGGTTTTTACAGATATAGCTACAGCTAATACTACTTTTGATAAATGTATGTAAATGTATAGCTACCCATGTGAGAGGAAGATTCAAAACAGTTGTTTTATTTTACATGGACATAAGAACGGCCATTTTGGGATCACGTGACCAGCTGAATCATATTTGCTTTATCTCAGTAAATAAATTACTCATGGCTGACAGCTAATAGAGCATTTCTACAGTGGCACTGATAACTGAAAAGTTGTTTTTTTTTAATACTGCATCCAAACCACTAGGTGTCACTATAAACCATAGATTGCCAAATCAGCCACATTTACTGATCAATATACATTCTGTTTTGATCATGTACATACCCTTTCAAAAAGTACTAACATATACCTTTAAGGTACCTCTTTATGGGTAAATAAAGTACAAAGGTGTACCTTTTGAAAGGGTACTGCCTCAGCGACAACTTTTGTACTTTTTTCCTGAGAGTGTATTCTAAATAAAAACAGCCAAAAAAGCATTAGACTAGCTGCTGGCTATGGTAATAACTGATTAAATGTGTAATAATAGCTTGAATGCAATGTAAGTCGTATGGATAAAAGGGTCTGCCAAATGCATAAATGTAATAATATCTGGCTCTCATGAAATGTAAATTGCTGTTTAATATTCTTCTCTCATCCCCAGATCTATTCATTGAGCGGTTCTGCATGACAGGAGGTAGCAGCCCCATTGGGTACCTGAAAGCATGGCATACAAACTTGTATTTGTCTGCCGATGCTGAAAAGGTTCAGGAAGCCCTCGCTGAAGGTTAGGACACAGTAAATATGAGATAACGCATGCAACTGCCTAGTACTTCATCTTGTAGCACAGTTACATTCAGTAAATCAAAGAATACATGTGACATTTTTGTGCAACAAGCAGTGCACAAAGTGCTTACAAGAGACCTTTGATGTTATGTTAATAAATACAATATTCATGGACTCTTTCTGGCTAAATATTGTTGCTTAAAAAGTTTTTTTTTAATCAAATTGGATGCAGAAATGGTGAGTAAAAGTTATAGTATATGATGCAGAATTGGTGTACAGTCTCAATGTCACAACACAGTATAGCAAAACCATATGAAGTGAACTTACCAAGAAACCAGTTTATCATGAACAGGTGATTTACAAACATTAGACTTGTGGTATATTAAGAGGTAACCTGTCAATGATTGTGAATTATGAAAAGTGCTAAATTACTTATTGGTCATAGTGACTCCAAAGGAATTGCTTTTGCAGTTTGCCATTTAAAGATCCTTTGAGCACATGAGCACCATACTGTCTGTTGCTTTGTTCACATATTACAGTCATCATATTAATTATTGCATAAATAACTTGCATATAGTGAGTAAGCTAAATAAAACTAACTGAAGTGGGAGAAAGCATTGAACTCCACATCGATTTAACAATCCAATGACCTATTTGTTTTACTGAGGCCTAATGGGTCCTGTCCTAATGTCTTTAAAGAACACCCTTTAAATGTTATTCATCACACAGCTTTTTCCTTTAGGCTGGTGAGCTTTATCTTTGTCTTTGTGTTTTCTTACAGGAATTGCAGCAGCCACCATGTTTATGTCAGAAAAACAAATTGAGGTGTCCGAGACCCAGCTGAGAGTGGCATTTGATGGTGACGCTGTTCTTTTTTCTGATGAATCTGAGCGTATTTTTAAAGCCCACGGCCTGGACAAGTTCTTCGAGCATGAGAGGGAAAATGAAAACACATTGTTAGATCATGTATGCATTTTTATTTTTATCCGTTTGATCTGTTTATATTTTAAATGAGATACAGAGCAAATGCAAAATGCATGTTTAAAGGAATAGTTCACCCAAAAATGAAAATTTGCTGATAATTTACTCATGCTCATGCCATCCAAGATTTAGATGATTGCTAGATTGTTTCCTCATTGGAACAGATTTGGAGAAATGTAGCATTACATCACTTGCTCACCAAAGGATCCTCTGCAGTGAATGGGTGCCGTCAGAAAGAGAGTCCAAACAGCTGATAAACACATCACAAAATACACTAATCCACACAACTCCGGTCCATCAGTTAATGTCTTGTGAAGAAAAAAGCTGAATGTTTGTAAGAAACAAATCCATCATTAAGGTATTTTAACTTTAAATCATCACTTCTGTCCAAAATATTCATAATTCATAATAACACTTCCTCCAGTGAAAAAGTTCATTCCCTGTTGTCTTTTCACATCAAAATCCACAGACATATTTGTTTAGAACTGTTTTGGACTGTTGAAAATGGTGCTTGATTTATGTATATTTCTCTCCTGATTCAGGCGAAACAACTAGAGAAAACAATATTATTTGTAGAGGACTCTATTATATATAGAGGAACTTCACAAGACATTAATGGATGGATTGCTTGTGTATTATTGTGATGTGTTTATCAGCTGTTTGGACTCTCATTCTGACGGCACCCATTCACTGCAGACAGAGGATCCATTGGTGAGCAAGTGATGTAATGCTACATTTCTCCAAATCTGTTCTGATGAAGTAACAAACTCAAATTTTCAGCAAATTTTCATTTTTGGGTGAATTATTTCTTTGTAATCCTTTAGAATTATAATTTTGGCATTGCGACTAGTGGAGTAAATAATGACACACCATCTTTAAATTAGCAGATATAACCGACAACCGGACTGAGTGTCCTTGTTCTTCAATGTAGTTGATGCTACAACAGACATACTGTTTAATATATCTGTCTACCTCACAGGGGCCACTGAAAGGTTTCCTGGAAGTGCTCGGGAAACTTCAGAAGAAATTCTATGCTAAAGGCCACCGTCTGGACTGTCCCATCCGCACCTACCTCGTGACGGCCCGCAGCGCAGCCAGCTCAGGCATCCGTGCCTTAAAGACTCTCCGTGCCTGGGGACTAGAGATAGATGAGGCTCTTTTCCTGGCCGGGGCACCAAAAGGCCCCATGCTGGAGAAAATACGGCCCCACATCTACTTTGATGACCAGATGTTTCACGTGGAGGGCGCTGTAGAGATGGGTGCCATTGCCGCCCATGTGCCCTATGGGATTGCACAGAAATACCTTCATAAAAAAAGCACCAATACAGGAAAATAACAAAGAAAGGAGAAAATATGAAGAGCGACCTTCAAGTTGCAGACATTTTTATTTTGTAAACTCATTGGATCAGGACCTCCGTATTCTTTTGCATTATGAATGAAATTTGACCAATGTGCCTCTGTTGAAGCACTGCAATGAACGGTTATTTTCATCTAAGCATATGTTTCTCAGAGATAGTTTGTCGAAATATACATGACATCAACTTACTGTAAAAAAGGAATGTGTGCTGCTATTCTTATTTGTAAAGTGAATATGTAAAGTGACAGAAGAAAAAGGAGTGATACTGAAATGGTGATTACACAGTGTGTGTTTTGAACCGCACTGTATAATTCAGCAATGGACTGTGATGGTGTTCTTGTTTATTACTGTAGATGGTGTTGTGTGAGCAAAACTACAGTATTCTTTCATGTAATCTAATGTATATGGTCGTATATAATGGATGGAGTGTTAGTCTGTAATGTAATGTTAATAAGAAGCCATAATATTGTATGAGAAGATGAAATATACCAGAAAGTCATGAGTAGTGAATGATATATTTAAAGTGATAACTGTACTTTTTTTGTTTTCTCATCTGCATTCAATATACACTACTGTTTAAAAATTCTGTTCAGCAAGGATGCATTAAATTAATCTAAAGGGACGGTATACATTAAATAATCCTGAAAAATATGTAGCAGCTTCCACAAAAATATTAAGCAGCACAACCTTTTTCATTATTGATAATAATCAATGTTTCTTAAGCAGCAAATCAGCATATTAGAATGATTTTGAAGGATCTTGTGACACTGAAGACTGGAGTATGATGCTGAAAATTCAGCTTTGCATCACAGGAATAAATGACATTTTAAAATAAATTACAGTAGAAAACAGTTATTTTATATTGCAATAATGTTTTACAATATTACTGTTTTAATGTATTTTTGATCAAATAAATGCAGCCTTGATGAGCTTGATGAGAAACTTCAACATTAAAATATCTTACTAACTCCAAACTTTTGAATGATGGTGTAAAATATATATATATATTTTGACAGAAAACAATTAAGTGTTGATTACTTTTGTGTCCTGTACCAAGTAGTGGATTAGCCTAACAAAATTAGCAAAGGCCGATCTACCTGTGTCCACAGGCCTCAAATAAAAACATACACACGTATATTATATAGTTATTCTCAGCCAAGACAATTTGACATGGTTGGTCATATTCTGCAATTTACAAAGGGAAATTAATGTATGTGAAAGGGAAAGTAAAATGAATAGAAGTGGTCACATATGTCTACAGATGTCATCCAAAGAAAGAAAAATTCCCTTGCTAGTTAATTTGTAGAAACAAAACAAATAAACCGTGCAGTATTTCTACCGAGCTTCATTACCTGCCACTCTTTCTCTCCAGATAACATTTGTCATGCAGTTAATATCATTTCTTGTTTACACATAGTCCTTAGATTGGCATCTAGCACACAAATAAAAGTTATCATCTTCAGAATTGACAACTGTCTATTTCTACTTTAGGGTAGTGAAGACATAATTTCCTGCTTATGTACTGATTTGTTCACATGTTTCTTGTGCCTTGTCTTTCTGTGCTGTTTAGTAATGTTTTGCAGCATCCGTCCTATAAACATTATTGGAACAAATTATGTTGACATTAGTGTTTAGTCTGCCTCTTTAAATTAACTCTACTGGAAATGTGACATATTAGCTGCCTTCTCCATACATATACAGTAACAGGACGTTCTGTTCTGACGAATTTATTATTTATTTTTTTTACTTTTATAAACTAATCTACCTTGATACAAAAGGTAAAAATTCGAAGAATGCAGAATTTTATGAGGACGTAGAACTTTTGTGTCCATGTGCAACGTGACACAAAAAAGTCTTATCAGTTTCACCGTCAGCATATTTCCCCTACAAATGCTGTATAGACAAAAGACTAATTGCATAATAGTCCTTCAGCTGTTCCTTGTTCAGTATAAATAATTAACTGTTTTATAAAATACAATTTTTGAGCGTATTTCTTTTTAGAATTTATTTTAGTAATCTAGGCATGCACCTCCTCATCATCACATTAGGTGGCAGCAAAGCTTTATATGATCCTCAATGACAGCAGAAGATCCAAAAGCTGAGGACCTCAAAAACATTATTAATGCTACCATAATCTTAAAACATTGAGGAATAAGGAGCATTTATATACTTAAGACATTTATTATTTTGTGCATCATCCTACTGTATATAATGTATCAGATTTGCTGGAGTTTGCAGAGCGAGAGTCTAAAACAGGACTCAAATTTATCAGTGTCCAAGCACTTGTTACGCTCAGCGAGGTTTTGAAACTAGAAAGAGAAGAGATGAATGCTTTCTCTGTTCATCATTGCTGCTGGTGCCAATTACCCAGAAACCTTGCCAAACTGCAAGTGCAGATAAACTAGAGGGCTATCAAGCGACTGTGCCTCCGAGGCGCCATCGTGGTAATGAGGCCATTGTTGTCCACCCCATATGTAGTGATTGATCA